AAAAAAAAAAAAAAAAAAAAAAAAAAAAAAAAGTTAGTTTCACGATTTTAAAACGGGTTTGTTAAGGAGAGATTTCTACGCCCTTAAAAATAATGTTTTGTTCCCTCTTCTTCAATCGATGTGGTATCTCAAAATCCATTCATTTAAAAGCTATGATGTTTAGCTTTGATACTATTTATGACGGGTTAAGTCTTAAACCCTAAACTGTCTTATAAAAAATGCTTTGTTTTTCTCTACCATCGAGGTGAGATTTCACATCTTTATAATTTGCTCTACAAATACAGATTCTCATGTGTTATTCACTAAGGATAAAACTTTACAAATAGTTTGAGATGGAGTCAATTCTTATAATTATAGGTACTCAAAGTACATATTTTTTCAACTTTATAGTGCCCACCTTTATTGAATTCAAAACAAAACTAATGAAGTGGTAAACAAACAATGGTAAGTAGACGTGTTTATTAATGGTTGAAAAATCTTTAATTTATTCCTTTTAAGGTAATATAGTTGCCAATGCTTTCCTTTTCATTATTAATCATTAAACATCTCTAATGTGCTTTCTTATGTTTGGTAAGCCCAAGTTTTTTTTGTTTCTTAAAATTGAAATATTCTAAAACTTTGGTTTGCTTCGTTTTCAAATTCTACATACAATTTTTAGGGCGAGCAAATCATTGAAGTGACTAGAAGTAAGAAAAATGAAGTGAATGTGAAAGTGAAGGGTATTTTAGTCTTTTTATATCTCGTGAAAATTTGAGAAGGGCTTGCAACATCTAAAAACATTGTTTCAAAAATTTTGATTTTTAGTATTTTTTTAGACTAAATTTGTAACACCTGCTCATCGACAATGCGATTAACAGGAGTTACCATCGATAACGATTACAAACTCTGATATCCATCATAAATCTCAAAATATTTTAAAAAAAAACATCCTTAAAAACATTTAAAAAGTGAATTCTTGACAACGAAAGCATAATTACATAAATAGACACAAACATGGATTCCCAGTAGTCTTGTCCTCGATTGGCTTGCATCATCTAAATCAGGAAAGAAAAAATAATTTTGATGAGTAATTAGATTACCTAGTAATAGCTACCTTATCATTCATTCATAACTAATATTTACGAGTGTTTTTAAGTTTTATTAGTTATTGACTTCTAGTTTCTCTTACTAGGGTCATTTGTTCATTAATGAGGTATCTCAGCTACCTTCAGCTTAGGTTACTAACTCTCTTTTGATAAGCTTATCTAGAATTTTCGGACTCGTATGTAAGACGCGCTCTCGGTCAAATACGGCCCGTCTACTAATTTCTCTGGCGGCTTGTTTATCTTATATACTAACGGTCAGGAATACTCATGCTCCCTAACTTAGTACACAACGCGTTGGTCAGGAACTCCGCGGAAATTAGTAGACTATCATACTCATATAAATAAGTCACGGCTCAACAACCAACAAGCATATCCCAGAGTCATAACCTTTCCATTAACATGGATAACTTACTCACATTTACTGCATGCTTTCATACATTTATCATGTTCAACACATAGAACATTCTAGTAATCATTTATAGCATGCTTATATCACATGCAAGTAATCACAATATACAATAAACATTCAATATCATCAAAGCTCATTTTAACATACTAAGCTCTTAATCAGGTAAACAACATACTCACATGTTGTAAAATAAATTAAGAACTAGTTCAAAGATCGATATGCTACTTACTTGGTTTCGAACTCCTTTTCCCCTTGAATGTACGTTTAATAGGTATTCCAACACAATTTCCTTCCTATTAGACCTATATTTTTCCAATTTCAACATAAGTATAGACCAATTTTGATAGGACAGGTCAAAAGGAGTCGGAACGGGACAAACCGGGAGCCAAAATAATTTCTCATGCGCCAACACAAGTTTGGGGGATAGTTTCTCACGCACCTGGTCCGCGCACAGTCGCACTTTCACTCGCGGCCTCCCACGCACCTCGCGTGTCCCTCACGCGCTCGTCTTCAACCTCTGTTTCCTGCAATTTTTTCCCAAACTTTTCCTTTAATAATACCCGTTGTGTCCCAAACAATATTCCATCTTTACAGCTCGGATTTCGGATTTCGTTTTGATTTCTTCTAGAACTTTATAGATCTCCTAATTACGGTTCTAACAAACCCTATTTCATAATTTATTATGCAATATGAACCAAGATATCGAGATTTAAAGGTTCGGTGATATGGATTTTTCGTTACCTTTGAATAACCGTCCGATTCAGCTCGTGGCCGTATCCCCTTCCTCAAAGGATTCCTCAGAGACAACCTCTCTTTCCTTACCCTCGATTGACAACCAAACTTAAGCAACCCAAACTCGAAATCTCAGAATTTAGCCTAATAAAGTCCCTAATTCACTTCCACACCATTACTTTCAAGCAGCTGCTGTGTTTTTCGTTTTGTGTTTTTTTAATTATTTTATTATTATTATTATTATTATTATTATTAACAAACCCAACCACAAATAAATACAAAATACATATTATCATTATTTTAGGTTATTACAAAATTGATAAAAATACTCTTTGAAATTTACATTTTTTTTCTAAAAATTATTAATAAATTTTCAAAAGTTTTAATAATACTTTCAAAACAATTTAAAAAATATAAAGTTTCAAAAAGTTCAAAAAAAATCTTAAACNAAAAAAAAAAAAAAAAAAAAAAAGTCAAAGTACATTTATAATTTAAAAAATAATATTAATATTTAAAAAATAATAAAAAATAATATTTTGTAATAAAAAATAATTTTGAACTTTTAAAATAATTTAGAAAATATCCTTTAATTTTAAAAAAAAATGTTTAAAAACACTTTTTAATTTTCAAAATTTTCTTTAATATCCTCTATTAACCTTAAAAAATATTTTAAACTTCCTTAAAAATTTAAAAAAGGCCTTTTAAGCTTGTTTAAAAAAATATTCAAAATTACCTTTAATGTGAGTTTCAACGAACTTTCTAAAATAATATTAAAAGGTTCGCCAATTATATATGAGGGATGGATTGACAGTTTTTCATCGATATATAGATATAAGATTTTTTTAAAAAAAATAAAATTCTTATAAAGTTCTCTCGGTTAATATTACTTTTAAAATTATATAGGTATTTATTAAATAGAGTATTCACGCTAAAAATATTTTTGAATGGTTTAAAAAGAGTTGAAATGTATTAATGAAACAAATTTAAAAGTATTTTTTAAATAAAGTTCTCACCATTACTTTCAAGTATTTTTTAGATATATTTTTTTAAAATTTATTAAAAAAATTGAAAATTTAAAAATATTTTATTAAGAATAGTTACCAAGCACTCCAAATTTTATTAAAATATATATTTTTTCAAATTTTTTNTTTTTTTTTTTTTTTTTTTTTTTTTTTTTTTTTTTTTTTTTTTTTTTTTTTTTTGCATTTGATTCTTCTCAATAGAGATTGGATGATAGAATTGACACATTTTCTTGCACTTATAATTCACCTAAATAGAAAATAAATAAAGATGATATATTTATGAGAGTATGAACACATTATGCTTTCCTTTTTAATCATAAGAATGAGTTCTTAAAACCCTATCCAATGGATTTATTAATTAATTAATTTAAACACTTTTTTAAAAGTAAAAGCCCCTCTAAGTTAAGTTATAAGCATATTGATATTAAAATAATACAATCAGAAAATTAGTAGCAGTGGTGATATGAACCACGACCAAGTAATTTTCATACCTCAAGGTCCAATTACAAGGACAAGAGCCAAGAACCTATAACAAACCTTACATTTATATTCAAGCTAGGATGAGCTCATTCAAGGAAATTCTAGAAGACGTTGGAGATGGAGATGAGCTCATCAAAGGAAATTTTAAAAGACGTTGGAGACCTCCCCTATATATTGTGCAAAGTTGAGCTTCTAGAAAAAGATGAATTAAATGCACTTTAAGTTGTATTTAATGAATTCAACTAAATTTATGACACTAGTCCAAGAATGACTAATAAACACATTTCATTCATGGCACAATTATAATTTAACTATTTGTTTGTCATAGTTAAACTAGTTTTAAATATAGGAGTTAAGGTTATATTGTAACAGCATGTTACCAATATAGGAGTTAAGGTTATATTGTAACAGCATGTTACCAATATAGGAGTTAAGGTTATATTGTAACAGCATGTTACCAATATAGAAGTTAAGGTTATATTGTAACAGCATGTTACCATATTCCACCGTTGACTAGCCATTTTAATATAGAGGGAGTTATGTATCACATAAGTTAAAGTTATAAAGGTTATATAAAGCTTTCTTTTCTTTGATTAAAGACATCAGACTTTAGAATTAAAAATAGAATTTCTATTTTACCTGTGTTGAAAACGAAGTTTTTCTTTGCAAATTCTTGTGTTTAGAACTTGCTTGTGGAGTGATTCAAATTACGAGTTTTCTTTACTCTTGATCTTGATCATCAAAGTAATCCGTTCCATACTTTCCCTTGGATTGATTTCCATATCAAGTGGGGCTTATCTTCATAATAAAATTCCAATTTGCAACAGTATTTATCCTTCCAAATCAATAGAAAAGGTCTTAGTATTCTCAGCCCTCACAATAACTTACTGGAAATCGTCTTTACTTTATAAGGTAGGTTTTGTTTCATGTTCTTGTCTAATTTAGCGATGTCATAGCAGGCTACTGAGCTCTTCGGTTGCATCTGAGCAACTTAAAGCACAGTCAACTGCGTCGATGGTGGAGACAACCATGGAAACAAGCGGCCCGGACGATATTAAGGCAGGCGAACAGGAGGCGTTTTGGATGAAAGAACACAAGAATGGAAACTGGGATTCCTGAGAAAGGCATTGAAGAGATAGATGTGGCTGAATTGAGGGAAGAAACAAACTGCTGCCTAAAACTAAGAAACTGATCTAAAACAAGTGAAAGCTCTCAGCTTTGTTATGTGCATATGAACAATGAAGAACTACTGAGCAGAACTTTTTTTCTCTCTCTCTCTGATCTGTCAGTTTCAGTCTCAAATGAATACCTACAAATTTAAAGATGATGAATATGATGGATGAAAGAAGGGAATCTCAGAATCTCATAATGTTTATCAATGAAAGCAAACTGCCAGATCGGTAGTTGCACAGGTCAAGTCTGATGAGTAGGAAAATGGAAATGAGTAAATATGTTGAGTTACCAACATTAATAGGGACAAACATCTCAACGGGTATCTATTGCAATTATTTATTTATTTAGAAGGGACCATCCTAATGACATTCCTATCACTCCAGTTCCTTCTAATACGGGGCAGAGAGAGGAAAAGGATAGCACTCTCTTTTCTGAGAAGGGACCATATCCTACTTTGCTAAGACGAAAAATGGGGGTCCATTCTAGTGACAAATGATATCCTCTTTCCAACTCCTACCATTAAGAGTGAGAGAAACTTGATATATACTGATATACATCCGGGATAGAACAAGATGACAAAGATATTGAGAAGTTGGACTATAACTATGTTCAAAATAAGTCGAACATAATTCAATTAGATAAGATAATACTCTCCACTAAGAGATTAGATATTTGAATCTCTCTTTGCCTTGAGTATAGTTCAACTAGATAAGATATATACTCTCAACTAAGAGGTCAGATATTTGAATCTCTCTCTGCCGAGTATAGTTCAACTAGATAAGATATATACTCTCAACTAAGAGGTCAGATATTTGAATCTCTTTCTGTGAGTATAGTTCAACTAAATAAGATATATACTCTCAACTAAGAGGTCAGATATCTGAATCTCTCTCACACATGTTGAACACAAAAACTATCAACTAAATAAGATGTATACTCTCAACTAAGAGGTCATATATTTGAATCTCTTTCACGTGTTAGAACACAAAAAAAAACTATGTTACAGCAGAACATAATTTTGCACTGTTTTTTAGAAAGCAAATGTTCACTACTCATGTATAAGCAGACATGCAGAAAGTTCACAAGCCACAAACTAGACTACATTTGGAGCAATGAATACAAACAAAATTTTTTGTAGAGTTCAAGCATCCATGCTCGAGGTCATTATAAGAAAAGGAAGGGTTGTTTCAGAATTTGACTATAAATATAGTTGGATGAGCTCGTCACTCACCACAGATGGAGAAAGAACGCCCAAATCTGTGAAGAGAAGTGTAAGGTATTGAGGAGGAGTATAATCACGAGCAGATTTTTCCACTTCAACCTTGGATGGGATAGGAACCCCAAAATCAATGGGACGCAGGGCAGGGGCCATGTCTTTCTGATCTAATGGGTAGAGTCGGGCAAACTGCAAAAATAATTGCAAGTCAGTTTTTTCCCCAGTAACTATAATCATAAGAGGTAAGAAGGTATTTAATAATCCCAATACTGTAAATGATCTAATGAAGGCAAGTAGATGGAGGCAAACCTTATAACTCTCAGCAGCTACATACATCGGTTTGTTCATGCTATGTGCCACTAATGCTATTTGATAGGTGCCCATCATGTTGATTATACCTCCACTTTCAACAACTCCATCAGCCCCAACTAGAACCATGTCAACCTCATCCATCGTATATGCTACTGCTGAGTCAATTAGGAGCTTTACAGGAACATCAAGCTTAGCTAGCTCATTGGATAGACGCAACCCTGTCCTGTCTGGTCTTCCTTCTGCATATTTTACGAACAAATTTCAACAAATCGAAAGTTAATAAAGACAATGTAGATGCCATGGAAGAGATGGACAAGATTAAAAAAAAAAAAAAATACTGGTTTCTTGTTGCATTAAAGTTCATCATACTGTTAGGCAAGTGTACTAGAGGAAAAGAAAAAAGGGAGAATACCTTCTCTTTAGTTAGTTGGCTAGGCTGAGTACTTACTTTACATAGTATGTAATAAGTTAGTTTTATCATTCATGTATTTTCTGTTTGTGCCATAGTGGTAGGAAGAGACGTAAGCCCTCTTGAAATAACTTGGCTGCTGATTTGTACTGGGGCCTAGGAATATTGTGAATTGTTATCCCCACATTCAAAAACCAAAGACAGAAAGGTTGGGACATGAAACGTAAGCCAAACAGCTACAGCCATAATTCATCTTAGTGTAAGCCTTTTTCCTTATCCAATCTTCTCTTAGTGTACGCAAATGGCACTTCGCCAGACTGAATTTAGTTGATATCGTGGATGAGGATTTGATAGTGCATCTTTATGTCCTCAGCCGCTTCTCCCCCATACACAGCTTCAGCAATGCCATGCCACCACTCAGGAGAGTCGTCGTATAAAGCCAACTCTTCTTAAATTATGACTTTTGCTTGCTTCTCCAAGAGGAAGGCATTGAGCCTAAGCTCCATGGAGAAGTGAAGAGCTCATGCCATTCTAATCCAAGAACCAACTTTCTTGGTTTAAAAAAAGAAAAAAAAGAATTGAAGTTGATTTGGAGTCTCATAAGATTCATGCACAAAAAAGTGTCTATTTTCTGATAGACAATTTTGGGAACATTGGATATCCTCAGAAGGAGCAGAGGCAAACTCCAGTAAGAATTAATAGAGAAACCACATTGCGACAGTCAATTCAAAAGACAGTAAAGAAGGTTCTTTTATTGGATTCCAAAGGAAAACCAGGCATTTGAGAGAATTAAACAGGCTATGATTACCCTATCGATATCAGCCTCATGGGAACTTTCTTTACCAATGCTCTAAAACTAGATGCCTCCATTAAGGCTACTGATACCTCATCGTGTTGGCCTATAGGGATTACTCTATCAACTATGCCAATACCATCATTAATTGATGTCCAGGCTACCTTTTCCAAGCAGGTTGACAAAGATCCATATCTTTCCAAAAATAAAACATAAATAAATAAAAGGATTGTTGCCGGACCCAAATTCCCGTCCTAAATGTTTCTTACAACATGACAAACTCTGGGTAGGCAGGTTGGATGATTCCCCTTCTCCTTTTTCATAAATCCTTCACTTCTATACACTTCCAGAAAAACAGCTGCCAGATGATCTATATTATTGCAGAGAAAACTGTACAGGTAAGGAATGAAAGGAGATGTCGAAATATATGTATCAGAATCTGAGGTTTTGACGACAGAACAAGAAAATAGACCTATCCTCATCAAGCCTTTTGAGTCTTTCAAAACAAATATGGGATGGCATCGATAAATTTCATGAAAGAGTTGCAATTTGCATAAACCTAATGGTCCTGATACCATTTCTGTCATCGTGGACTCTTTCAGCATGTACGCCTGTTCCATTCCCCCAATCACCCACTTAAAGCCAAAACAAAATAAGCAACCTTTGTGAATGAGGTGGTGGGTTTTCACGGGTTTCAACAATTTCTTATATTCAACCATGATAAAAAAAAAAAAAAAAAAANTTATATTCAACCATGAATAAAAAAAAAAAAAAAAAAAGGTTGAAAAGCACTATCAGAGTTTCACGTATCACACAGAAATGGACAGAAAAAATCAAATCAAAAGTGCTTTTCTATGACAAAACCTAAACAGTGCATCGGTGGTTACCATGGCCAAAAATATTAAAAATAAGATGATAGTCCACTCCTCAACTGATACAACTCCATTTCAATTATCTACAGTCACAACTCTCCACTTATCCATTGCAGACATAAAATACACCCAATTTCACCCTAAGCAGCAATTGCAAGAACATGATCAAAACTTAGCAGCCCTCTGAACACCATCTCACCAGTGCTCAAGATAAAATGAAAGATGATCAGCCAACACCATAAGGATGTTAAATATGTAGTTGGTGATGAAATGTATTAGAAACTGTAACCCTATCTACACTCTTTGCTCAAAAAATGAATTAAAGTGTCTTTAACCACTACTTCGGCCCCTCATAAACCACAAGCAGTTGGTGACTTACAAATAGCTAGCATTGGTGTTGTAGCATAATCTCTCTTCCTCATTTGAGAACTAATTTGGAATCAATTATGGAAACCAAGAAAGTATTGGGAGTTCAGAAAACACACAAATAACAATTCCTGGGAGCTACTAGTCCAATTAAAGGATCTTCCAGTTCCTCCCCGTCTAGCCATCCTAGGTACTTCTGGAAACCATTCAGCAATTGTCTCCTAAATTTCACTTTGGGGACAAGGTAGTAATGTTAGGTCACCAATTATAGACGTTTATGAGCCGCGAGGTTTAAAAGGGAATAACTCCACCAAAGGAGTGCTGGGTTGAGTATGAAATCCAATGAGGAATAAGTTGATTCTGTTCTGTCATTCAATACCTATGTTAGCCACACCTCAATCTGGCTAACTTAATAATTGTTTTGTGTTTGGGTCCTTTTGTAAATGTTTCTTCGCATATCAAGGAGCTACTTTCAATCAAATTCATAAGAAAACAAAAATAAATACGTCCCTTATCCAGTATATCAAAGGGAGAGGTCCAAATCCTTGAAAAAAACACAAACACAAGATTTATAGAGTTTGACTTGGTAAGACAGACTTAAATGACAACTCAATTTGCAAGGTGGTTAAAGATTTAAAAGAGCAGAACCTGTGCAAAACACTCTAAAGAGCTTCTTATTCTGTGCAGCTAACCTCAGAACTTCCATAACAACTCTAGAGAAACCATGGACCAAAATTGTACAACCATCAAAAATGAAATCCTGACTGAGCATTGCAATAATTCTCCGTGCCTGCAATGCAATACCAGTTTTAGCATTAAAATACCTTTACAAATTACATGGTGTTCGGCCATTACAAATGATCATCATGGTAAGCTCTACCTTACAAGATATCTCCCCAAACTTTTCTGCACGTTCAATCAGGCGAGACTTAGCAGACTTGAAATCCTCATATTCTAAAGCCGATGTTCTAGTTACATACCGCATGAACAAATCACAGCCAGCCGTCAATGATATTGAAGTTGTATCCCATGACTGGAGGAAATAAACAGATAGATGAAATGAACTAGAAGTTATTTATGTTAGCCTATCAACTGAAAGCATGCAAAGATCATCCATTATTTGTATGAACTATTTTCTAAACAAAAAAGTTGTACACCACTACGATTTCGTACATAATTCATTTCCTAAAAACCTAAAAACCTCAAAATACAACATATATGACTCCCAATTATGCCTCTAAAACCTCAAAATACAGTACAATAACTCACCTTCAGAGAGTCCGAGGCCTTTTTCAGCTCAATTTCGAGCTCCATCATTGTCGTGGCCTGACTAGACCGTATTACAGCCGCCAAAGACCGAATAGCTGCGACGGCCTCGGCCAAATCCGGCTGTTTCCTCCAGTTATTAAACTCATCGATTACACTGAAAGGCTTTCCAGATTCAGAGTCCTTAACATCAGCTTCCGATAACAATTGTTCGTCGGTCGGGAATCCGACAGCAGCTTGCGCCTGGGCGAGCCAATCACTGGTGACGACGGCGGTGTGAGAAGCCCTACTTTGGTAATAGGCAGAAATTTTAGGGTTAGGGTTCTGGAAAGTGTCCGCCATAGAAGATTCGTCGACGGGCGGGGAAATAGAAAGGGTTTCAGGTGGCTTTGAAACGCCTTCAGTTTGCTGCTTGTCCAGGATGAAAGAAGCCGATCTCCACCACATTTACGTTCGAAAATCAGACGTGAAGAATCTAAATTCGGGTTTTTAAGAGAGAAAGTGATAGAATCTACGCTTACTCTCCGATATCGAGATTCCGGCGACGTGAGTCTCTGTCGGCCGAAATCAATTTTAACTGAGAACTATGATTTTGATAAATAAAATCTTATTAAAAATAATACTATAGCCTAATCCTCTTGCCGAACTAAAAAAATAATAAATTAATTTTTTTAAAAAATAAAATATTTCAACAATAAATAATATAGGGTGGAATTATTGAATTTTAAAAATAAAATACTTATTTTAAAAATAGAGAAACAATGAATTGGAAAAATTACTAAAATATTAAAAAAAAATTACTTTTTATTTTTTAGCAATTCGATTATAATTTATTAGTTTTTTTATCCTTTAAAATTTATAAAAAAATTATACAAAAATAATTACGTAAATTCCAAACGAGACTAAAGATATGTAAATATTTACCGACAATTATTTTTTAGATCATAATATTAAAAAACATTAATAAAAAGATTCTCAAAATATTATAAAATATTTTTTAAAAATTGTGAAATTTCAATATAATATTATATATTTAGCTAATTTGGTAAAACAATTAAATATAAAAATGTCTAAAATATAGTTTTTTATAGAGTTATAAAATAAAATTTCAAAAATGGAAAACAAAATTAGAAATACTATATGATTATTAAATATAATTGTATAATATAAATCACAATATTAATAAAACCAAAGTTTTGATTATGGTTGAATACAGCTGGCAAATTTATTATAACCGTTATTGTCATATATTTATTTTATTCAAATCCATACGCGTTTTTTCATATCATTTTTATTTTCTGAAAATTGAATTTTATATTTATTAATTATTTAATCTTTAAAAAATTAATAATATTGACAACCAATATTGATTTTTTTTTGTTTTTAATTGTTTTAATTTCAACGTTGACTCAATTTCTTTATTATTTTTTAAAACTAAAAAATATTCTTTACATTTTTGTTTTTATATATTTTTTAATTAAAAAATATTAGAATTAGGCGGTTAATTTGTTCTTAGTCCATATAATTTTAAAATATAAAATTTTTATTATGATCAGATGAAATTCATTCAATAAAAATTTCCGGTTGGAAATGAATTATAATTTTTTCAAATTGTAAAGACAAATTTTCAATTTAATAATTAATTTTAAATTATCTTATAATTAAATAAAATAAAATTTAAGGTTGAGTGACTTAATTGTTTTCTAATTAACAACTATATCCTACCGTCTTGACTTTCTATTTTAAAAAATAAATTGATTAATTTTAAACATGTTATTCAATTTGATAATTCATAAATAAATTAATTAAGTTAATTTTTTTTATAATATATATAATTTACTATACTATAAAACTAATAAAAATATTGTGTTTTAAAAATATTTAAAACTTGCAGTTTAAATTAAAAAAAAATATCCTTAAACTAGAAAAATATTAATTTTTTTAAATAGGATAAAAATATTTTTTATTATTTTTTAAATTGAATGGTATTTTTAAACAAATTAATCAGGTTTAAATTTAGTCTAACAATATTATATTTTTGACATATAATATAAAAATTTATTATTTTTTTATTATTTTTGGTAATAAATTAGTTGCAATTAATACTTACCTTTAATCACTCAAAAAAATAATTTTAAATTTTAAATTAGTTGAAAATGTCTGACCAAAGAAAAAGCCGATAAATACTTCAGAATGTCTAATTTGAAAGCTATTATCTAAATATTTATTTATTTAAAAAAAATAATTAGTTTACTAAAAAAATTATTGAAGCTTACAAAATATTATCTAAATAACTATTTATTTAAGAAAGTAGTTAGTTTACTGAAAAATTATTCTAATCTCTCTCTCTTTCATTATTTTGATGCTGATTTTTGAAAAAAAAAAATCAAAATTATGCAGAAAACCGCATGGTTGACTAGCTAAGAATTGATGATTCATTGAATTAGCGGAATGATTTGCAGTGGTGCTTAATCTGGATGAATGCAAAATTTTGATTTCTGTGGTGGTGGTGATCGGTGAATCTTGGTTGGTTTTCGGAATCATCTAGACTCTCTTCAACTGCTCGTTATTTCATGAGCTTTTATTGGTAGTGAATCGCGGTTTTTTCTCTTCAGAGCTCAACTCTGATTTGTGCTGGCTTCTTCCTTTCCGTTTAGGAGGAGTGAGGGTGGTCAAGCTCAGTTCAAGTTGAGGCCGATTGGAATTCGACACTGTGTGTATTTCTTCTAGCTTTCAGTGTTTTATGGTGAATTTGATGATGATGAAGATGTTCCGTGAATTTTTTTGCTTTGTTTTTTTGTAACTTCTATTTATTTTCTACAGAGAATTTGAGGAGATGTTCGAGGGAGGTGATCGGAGTTAGACGTAACTGTATTGGGTCGGTTCAGAGGAGTTTGATTGAACTCATTTAAGGTAGTTGAGAAGATGCTTGATCTTGCCCTGTTCTTATTCGATTTAATTAGTTCACGCTTTCTTTATTCGATTCAATTTATGTCTGAGATTGGGGCATGGTTCTTTAATTGGCGAAACTGCATCTTTCGTTGTTGGAGGATTAATGTTGATGCAAAGAGTGGAAGTAGACCTAAATAGGCGAAGTTCCCTTTTCGATGTTTTTTCTTCTTTTGCCTGTTCTTCCTTTGTGTTAAGGTGGAATTAGTTTGATCGTGGGCGCTGGTTTGAATCTTGAGAAGGTTATCTCCCTTGGATGATCAGTTCTTTTTTTCAGATTGAATTTGTTTGGGCTACTATCAAATGAGCATGTCATAATGAACGGAACCGTGGGTTTGTTGGTCAATGGATTCTCCCGACAAGACATTAACTGATATACTTGGTAACTGGAAGTCGTGGATCCCTTGGCGATCTGAATCAGCTAATGTATCGAGGGCTTTTTGGATGCCTGATCAGAGCTGCCGGGTATGCTACGATTGTGACGCGCAATTTACCCTTATAAACCGTAGACACCATTGCCGGCTTTGTGGACGAGTATTTTGTGCTAAGTGTACTGCAAACTCAATACTTGCCCCATCAGGTAATCCAAGGACTCCTCGTGAAGACCGGGAGAGAATTCGTGTTTGTAACTATTGCTTCAAGCAATGGAATCAGGGCATAGCTGCTCCAGGTCATGATATCAGGGTGATGATCCAGGATACCTGCAGTTCATCATCAGCAGCAAGTTTGTCCAGTACTAGATCTAGCGGCACTGCTGACAGCAATTGGACTACTCTTGCTTCTGTGCCCTACTCAGTTGAGACCAACCAACAAGCTCAAGACCATTCTGGTCTAAGCCCACAACATTCACCTATTATCTTAACAGACAGAGATCAACAGGGTGAATCGACATCGGGGAGAAGCGCTGACATTCTTTCCAGCATAGATATACCACAAAATTATTCCATGAACAGGTTTTGCCTCTAATGTTTGCATTTAGTTTGGTTCTTACTTGGCCTCTAGAATCCCTGTGTTATTTTGATTATTCCAACCACCTCTATTATAGGGCCTCCGCTATTTTTAACGAGTCGATATTGATTTAACCTCAAGGGTCAACCTTAATGGTATAAACCTTGGAGTTGATCATCTGACCATAGTTCTGAAATAGATAAGAGCCACACATTTTGAAATATGATTTTACCTGTGTAGTTGTTGCAAGTAGTAGGAGCTTCTAGCAAGAAGGCATAGAGTGAAACAACTTTTGTGGTTATTTTACTTAATGTGGCTTGTGGTTTCTTTGTTATCAGGAGCGCTGGCAAGTATGATTATGGTGGTGTATACAAGTCAGACACTGAAGCAAGGCCATCTCCTCTAGTCACAAATTACTTTGGTCAAGCTGAATCTGAAGATATTGGCAATGAGCATGGACCATATAATGAGCAGCTTGATGGAGAAATCAGTGACGCCAGGAGTTTAAGTAGCTCTCCCTTGGGGGAAAGTTTTTACTCACATGGTCTGGAAGGAATTCCAGATCTTGACCATAAGGAAGACACAAGTTTTATTTACGGAGAAGATCAAGGGGATTCCTCTTTAGACTTAACGGATGATGTCCAGTATGAACCTGTTGATTTTGAAAACAATGGCCTTCTCTGGCTCCCACCTGAACCTGAAGATGAAGAAGATGAGATGGAAACATTCTATGATGATGAAGATGGGGGACATGTTGCAGGTGAATGGGGATATTTTCGGGACTCTAGCAATTTTGGGAATGGGGAATATCGTAATAGGGATAATTCATGTGAGGAGCACAACAATGTCATGAAGAATGTTGTCGATGGACATTTTAGGGCTTTAGTAGCTCAACTGATGCAGGTGGAGAACCTTCCTTTGGGTGAGATCAGTGATAAAGAGAGTTGGCTGGAGATAATTACTTCCCTCTCTTGGGAAGCTGCCACACTACTAAAGCCAGATATGAGTAGAGGCGGTGAGATGGACCCAGGCGGATATGTGAAAGTCAAATGTATAGCTTCGGGATTTCGCCGCAGTAGGTAATTTTTATGGTGTATATATAGCTTTTCATCTGTCAAAAAACTGTCTTATTTCACTTATGTCACCTAACTCTGTGCGTGTGGCTTTTCATAACAAAAATTGTCCTATTTTATTTTGTGACGCTTTATTACACAATTCTATCTATTTGACTGCTTTTTCTTGACTGATGAAACTTGATTCTTCTCATGGCATCATGAAATTATCTTTCCTTCGTTACCAGTTCTGCTAGTTTTCTATGAGAAGATTCTGCATCTTTCTAGTATAGCCCACAAGTTATTTATAATCATTTTCCTGAGTTAGAGGCAAAGCCTATTGTAAAAATGGTTCTTGGATCTTCGGTTTACATTTCCCTTAAGAGAGCTGGTAAAATGGTAATTTGTAAATTGACTTCTCTGTACTCCTTATAGTTCATTAACCTTACCTATCATTATTTTTCCTTGTAAGTTTGACTTTGTTGAGAGTTAGCCACTTCAAACTGATTTTTATTGAAATAGTATGTTGTCCCTTAATTATGGCTGCAATATTTTTTTTACTACATTCACATCCTAATGTTGTTTTAAAAAATTAGCTGAATTATTTGAAATACCCTAAAACTTGAAGGTTAGTTTTAACTATATTCCTATCATTTTGAAAATTTCACTTCTACCTGTGACTTTTAAAATTGATTCAAATATGCCATTGAACTCTTTTACACTTAAAATAAGTGAAACGGATTTATGCGGTTGCTGAGTTGTGGACAGAATAGTGACATATGTGGGTATTAAAACTTGAAGCGAAGTGACAATGATCAGTAACCACCAGACAGTCACTTTTCAGGATATGTTTGTCATTCATTATTTAACCTGCCCCATATCAATGATTGTCTTATAGTTATTACTACTTTTGTCATATTTGTTGTTCATTCTTTAAAAACCATATCTGCCACTACTTCATTTAGACCTCAACGATCATGTTAACTTTTACCACATGTTGTAATGGTAAATTGTACAGGGACTTATTGAATATACTTTTGATTTCAAAAGTTAATACTTCTAGTTCTTCAAACCTTCTTACAATGAGTTCAATTACTTATCTTTTAGTTCGGTGGTAAAAGGGGTGGTTTGCAAGAAAAATGTGGCTCATCGGAGAATGACCTCAAAGATAGAGAAATCTCGCTTGCTGATTCTTGGAGGTGCACTTGAATACCAAAGGGTTTCCAATCACTTATCGAGTTTAGATACACTTTTGCAGCAGGTTGTAACTTCTTAGTTCAGTCTATAGTCATTAATGACAAATTGCCAGTGCTTGTATATAATTTGCATTCATTTGTTTATTTTCCCCCCTCGTCTTGTGCTAATTTGATTTAAACCTTTATAGGAAATTGACCATTTGAAGATGGCAGTTGCAAAAATAGATGCACACTGCCCTGATGTTCTTTTAGTTGAAAAATCAGTATCAAGATATGCACAAGAGTACCTACTTGCAAAAGATATATCGCTTGTTCTCAATATCAAGAGACCACTTTTGGAGCGTATAGCCCGCTGCACAGGTGCACAGATAGTTCCCTCGATTGATCTACTGTCATCTCCAAAATTGGGATATTGTGAGTCATTTCATGTAGAAAGGTTCACAGAAGATCTGAGCTCTTCTGGACAGGGAGGGAAAAGATCGGTGAAGACATTGATGTTTTTTGAAGGTTGCCCAAAGCCATTGGGTTGTACTGTAAGTTCTTGCTATACCTATCACCAAATTTGGGCGTATTATCTTTTCTACTGAAAATAATGTGTAAAAGCATGCACGTCTTTGTGGAAATGAAAAGTAATGTACCAAGAATTTCTAGAAATAAGAGGAGGCGGGGGGGAGCTTCGGCATGGCAGAAATAAGTGTTTCATTTTTTCAGTGATCCACTGGATGAGTTTCTTAATGTGGTTGTTGGTTGGTGTGTCGTCTTGCAGAATAGAGGTGCGATTAAAAACCGTTGGTTTAAGTACTAACTTTTTGTATGTCTATTTCTTTAGATTTTGCTTAGGGGAGCCGACGAGGATGAGTTGAAGAAGGCAAAGCGAGTTGTTCAGTTTGGAGTTTTTGCTGCTTATCATTTGGCCTTGGAAACATCTTTTCTTGCTGATGAAAGAGCCTCTCTACCAGAACTTCCATTGAACTCCCCAATTACTGTTGCAATTCCCTTGAAATCGTCTGTTATTGAGAGATCCATATCAATGGTGCCTGATTTCTGTCTTCCTTCTTACCCAGGGCAGAAACCTAGCTTACCTATTGACGAGTCACAAAGATCTAAGAGTTTACCGATCTCAGATCTAATCTTATCAAGCAATAGCACTTCACCTTTTGTAGGAAACAGCCCTATTTCTCAGCTCTCACGGCCAACTTCCTCTGCAGCAAATTCAGCAGCCATTTTCTCTTCTGATCCCATTTCATGGACTACTAACTCAGAGTCTTATGGTGATGAGTCTTCTCCATACCCAAGTCCTAAGGAGAGAAATGCTTTGGGTACCAGGGGAGAAATAGAAGAATCTTCTAATAGTGGTTATCAAAAGCATCAGGTACTAGGATCTGTTGAGTTGTTGGAGAATGACAAGTTTTCTATCGATGCTGAAGGTGATGATAGCTCAGTGGCATCTAGCCAGCCAATTGGCTCAGAGCCATTAAATGTGCAACAGAATAATCAAAACCATCAAGACCTTGGAACTTCTAAAGAGGAGCTGGGAACAGGAAAAGATGACTTCCCTTCAGCATCTTCTGACCATCAAAGTATTTTGGTCTCGTTATCATCAAGGTGCATACTGAAAGGAAATGTCAGTGAGAGGTCACATCTCTTTAGAATCAAATACTATGGGACTTTCGATAAACCTTTAGGTCGATTCTTAAGGGACTATTTATTAAATCAGGTGAGCGGCCTTACTTCAATGTACATCAGATTTCTCTCTATCGAAAACTTAAAAATCCATAAGGAAAATGACAATTTCTCATGCCTTTCCAGACTTACCGATGCGATTCTTGCAACATGCCAGCAGAAGCACATGTGAATTGTTATACTCATAGACAGGGCACCCTCACAATATCTGTTAAAAAGTTACCAGACTGTATCTTGCCAGGTGAAAGGGAAGGGAAGATCTGGATGTGGCACAGATGCCTGCGATGCCCACGAAAAAATGGTTTTCCTCCAGCTACTCGAAGAGTAGTGATGTCAGATGCTGCATGGGGACTCTCATTTGGAAAGTTCTTAGAGCTCAGTTTTTCTAACCACGTTGCTGCTAGCAGAGTGGCAAGCTGTGGCCACTCTTTACATAGAGACTGCCTTCGTTTTTATGGGTAATCATTTGGCAAATCAGCAAGTATTTTAGTTTTAAAAAATTTACAAAACCAGTAATATTCATATACAAAAAACACCTGGCAATACAAAATTGAACTAATCTGTGTTTCACTTTCATCACTGCACCTCCAGGAGTTATTAAAAAGAGAGAAACCATAGTCTTAAAGTTATCGAAACATAGTATTTCTTGCATGAAAGTGGTCATCTTCATAATATTATTGTTTTTTTTTTTTTTTTTTTTTTTTTTTTTTTTTTTTTTTTTTTTTTTTTTTTTTTTTTTTTTGACAAGATCATCTCATATTAATTATAGTCCATTTGCTATGTCTATAATTGAAATCCATAAATAGTTTTATGTAGGTCATTCTTTATAATATATGTAATTTTATATATTGGTTTTTGGTCTCCTAAGCATATTCATTTTTTAACATACAATTTGAGTGCTGAAGTTGGTTCCTTTATTATTCTTGGTGTTAGTTGTTTGTGCCCTTCTTTTTTCACTTGATTCAGAAACTTTTTATATATTTTAGGGTTTAGGGCCTACTTTTTGATCCACAAATCATTGGAATGGAATGGTTTTTTTATTAATTTTATTTTATAGGAAACAGAAAGAGATATTCATTAAAAAAGGACAAACAAAACAACCTAAAGGCCATGGAACGAGGTGTTTCATGCCTCTGGAGAGGATCAAACAGTAGGCCTCCAATCCAATTTGAGGCTGTAAACCATATAACATCACCAAAATAATCAAAATTTACTTAATTTTTACTTGACATCATCAAACAGTAGGCCTCCAATCCAATTTGAGGATGTCAGCTACTCCACTTTTTTTACATCGTTTCAATATGTTATGTAAGATAATTGCATCTTCTGGAAGCTGAGGTGCCACTTCTTATTGCATTTCATTGTGAGGAGTTCTCTTTCTTGTCTTATTTTTTTTCAACTTATGTTGATATCAAACTAGTCAAAGTGGAAAAGATACCTTCTCTAATTACTTGTGCATCTTCTTTTTCAACCTTTGGCCAGAATTTGAAACTTACTATCTCTCATTGCTTCACTTGTGCAGATATGGGAGAATGACTGCTTGCTTTCGCTATGCTTCAATCAATGTGCATTCTGTATACCTTCCGCCATCAAAACTTGATTTCAACTATGAGAATCAGGAGTGGATACAAAAAGAAAAGGATGAGGTGGATAACTTTTGGATTTGAGATGTTTATGATGTAGTTTTTGTTGCACATGGATGATCTAATTCTCTGATCATAGCAGGTGGTGAACAAGGCTGAGCTTTTATTTTCCGAAGTGTTGAATACTCTTCGTCAGATTGCAGAAAAAATATCTGGTGTAGGGACCATTACTAGCATGAGAAAAATGGAACTAAGGCGCCAGATTGCTGGGTTGGAGGCAACGTTACAGAAAGAGAAGGCCAAATTTGAGGTGAATGTCGAAACTAGACATCTCTTTGAACATCTTACCACGCATCCTAAATTTGTATGGAAATTCAATTTGGTTACACCGTGCTTTTCAGTCGAATCTCTTTAGGGGATGAATTTGTCAGAGCTTATCTTTTTATACTTGACCGGCAAAGCGTTTTTCTTCAACTCCTCAATCTGTTTAGTAATTGGGAATAAGGATGAACCAAAGTGGTTGAACTCGTCTCATACTGTTTTACTGTATGGTGCATATGCCTTTTTTGACCCATTTGATGGCTCATTTTCATTATCTGCTTGTATCTTAGGAGTTGGGAATTAGGATGGACCAAAGTGGTTGGGCTCTTCTTGTTCCGTATTATTGTCTTCTGCATATAACACGTCTTACAAAATTTGACTTGTCCCCAGATTACATTTAAAAGAAAAAAGAAAAAGAAGTAATATCTTGACAGTGATTTTTTTTTTTTTTTTTTTTTTTGAAATTTTATGCATACATGTATTCTTCTCGGTGATATTACCAAACTCGTGTTCATAAAGAACTTTTCTTGTGTCTTAAGCACCACAATTGATTCTTAAATTTACAAGTAAAGCAACTTTTTTTTTTTTACTTTTAGATAGTTCATGCATACAATATCCAATTTCTTGCTTATTTTTTTGGTTCTGCTACCTGTGGTTAAGGAATCACTCCATAAGACTATGAATGGGGAAGGAAAACAGGGCCAGGTTACTGTAGACATTCTTGAGATCAACTATCTGCGTAGGAAGTTACTCGTCCAAGCTTATGTATGGGACCAGCACTTGATCCATGCTGCCAGTTTAGACAACAGTATCTCTAATGGCAGCTTTTTTTCGGAATCTGAAGAGAGGCTTTCTGAAATTAGTGGCACCGGAAAATCAGTAGAAGACCTTAAATCTTCTCGTCTCGTCTATCAACAGTGTAATGGAGGCCAAAGTAAAGGAGAAGAATTTGTTACCAGCCTGGCTCAACCTGACATTCAAATCAAAGAAGTTGGAGATTCAGATTCACATAAAGGAGAAGATTTATGCAGCACAAGCATTAATGCTCCATCTGAACCCGTAGAATCAAGGGCAAATGTTCTTGCTGTTCAGGCTGATGGGCAGATTTCTAGGCTGTTAACTTTATCAGATACACTCGAGGCGGCATGGACAGGTGAAAATGGTTCAGTAGTTGGAATAACGAAAGATAACTCTCATATTCTATCCAATTCAACTGTATCAGATTCATCAGGCATCGATGATACTTCACGGAATGATCGTTCTGAAGATCGCCATTCTGTTTCTCAGTCGCTTCCTTCAAAGGCACTTGATGATACAGAGGACTTTGCTAGTCAGTTAGAGACGGCATCCTCAAACTTCTATTATTTATTTAATGAGAATTTTCTAGCTACTGGTCAGAAACTTGAAGCACTAGCAAAACACAATCCTGTCTTTCTGTCTTCATTCTGGGAGCTAGAGTTTCAAGGTGGAGCTAAGCTGTTCTTGCCCCTTGGTGTAAATGAAACTGTTGTTCCAGTCTTTGATGATGAACCCTCAAGTATCATTGCTTACGCCTTAATGTCACCAGAATATCACTCCCAGCTGATTGATGAGCCAGAAAAACCAAGAGATTGTGGTGATTCGTTGCCTTCCTCGTCTTTCACAGAATCATTTTTGCAGTCCTCTGATGACTTCTCCTTCGATACTTCTAAAATTTCGGGGCCTTCGGATGATAGTTTTTCAACCATCTCTGGATCTCGTACCTCACTTGGCTTGGATCCACTCTTATACCCAAAGTCCCTTAATCCCAGAATCGTTTTCGAAGACTATGGCCCCCATGGTGGAGCAAAATATTCTGTTACCTGTTACTATGCAAAACGTTTCGAAGCTTTGAGGAGGATTTGTTGTTCAGAACTCGACTTCATAAAGTCCCTTAGTCGTTGTAAGAAGTGGGGAGCCCAAGGTGGTAAGAGTAATGTTTTCTTTGCCAAAACTTGGGACGATCGATTTATTATTAAGCAAGTCACCAAGACAGAACTGGAGTCATTTATCAAATTTGCACCTGAATATTTCAAGTATTTATCTGAATCAGTTAGTATGAGAAGTCCTACATGTCTAGCAAAGATTCTTGGAATTTATCAGGTACCTCTAATCCTTGGGCTTTAAGATGTCATTGTGTTATAAAATTGTAGCTATGTTTATATAGTTTTCCAGTACTTGAGAAAAACGCGCTCTTCAAAGATAGATTAGTATTAGTGTTAGATGAATACGACTCTCCACAATAGTATGATATTGTCCACGTTGAGCATAAGCTCTCATGGCTTTGCTTTGGGTTTCCTAAAGGCCTCATACCAATGGAGAGAGTATTCTTTGTTTATAAACCCATGATCATTCCCTAAATTAGCCAATGTGGGACTTCCATCATCAACACCTCCCCTCGAATAAAGTACGCCTCCCCTTAATCGAGCCTAGACTCCTTTGGAGTCTTAATCATTTTTTACTGCCTTCGAGAAGGCTTGTCGTCTCCTTTTCTTCTGGAGTCCTTTGTTCGACATTTGAGGATTTACCAATCTATTGACACGACCAAGTTTAGGGCATGACTCTGATACCATGTTAGATGAATACGACTTTCCACAATGGTATGATATTGTTCACTTTGAGCATAAGCTCTCATGGCTTTGCTTTAGGTTTCCCCAAAAGCCTCATACCAATGGAGAGAGTATTCTTTATTTATAAACTCATGATCATTCCTTAAATTAGCCGATGTGGGACTTCCATCATCCAAGTGGGACTTCCATCATCAACAATTAGTCTGTTATAAATGACTAATTCATCGTTCGACAGATACATGGAGGAGATGATAAAATGCAAATTTTAACTCTATGATAAGAACTTCAATTATAATATTGTGGTTTACTTATGATAATTGAGAGGTTATCTTGTCTGAAATTTTCTATTTGTTGGTTTCATGGTGGAAGGTTACGGCAAAGCACCTCAAAGGAGGGAAAGAATCAAAGATGGACGTTTTGGTTATGGAGAATCTTCTGTTTAGAAGGAATGTTAGGCGGCTTTATGATCTAAAAGGATCTTCAAGATCACGCTATAATGCTGATTCAACTGGGAAGAACAAGGTTCTATTGGACCTTAACTTGATTGAAACAATGCGAACGTCTCCAATTTTCGTCGGAAACAAAGCGAAACGATTGTTAGAGAGAGCTGTCTGGAATGATACTTCATTTCTTGCTGTAAGTTCACGAATATGCTTCTTCTGTAAACGCTCATTTGACACATTCTCACACATTGGTTAACCTGTGGTGTGGTGATGCAGTCGATCGGTGTAATGGACTACTCGCTGCTGGTTGGGGTGGACGAGGAGAAACATGAACTGGTAATGGGGATCATCGATTTCATGAGACAGTATACATGGGACAAACACCTTGAGACTTGGGTGAAGGCCACAGGCATTCTTGGTGGGGCAAACTCCTCTCCAACTGTGATCTCCCCCAAGGAGTACAAGAAGAGGTTCAGGAAAGCCATGACAACCTACTTCCCAATGGTCCCGGACCAGTGGCTTCCGCAGTCTATCGTTCCGAGCCACTCTCAGTCTGATTTAGGCAACGAGAACTCGCAGGATGGCAAATCGGATGCTGCGTCTGTTGCCTTGTAGATATCTATGTGAGTGAATCTCTTTGTTCATTATCTTGTTGGGTAATAATCAATTCTTTTATGTACATTCTTTTTGGTCGGTGAAGATAATTTGTTCGGAGGTGTTGTGAAAGAAGGCTGCTGCTAAAGCCATCAAGGAAGGAGGTATGATTTTAGTTCACCTCTTGATTCAAATCTTTGTATAAAGTAGGTTAGTGTTATTATAGCTAGATTTACAGTGAAAATCTTCTGTTCCACCAAAATACATTACCTCCATTCGTTGTACTTTACAAGATAAGTTACCTCAATGAAACCAAATTTTGAATCACACTTGTATGTGCTTAAATATGGAAGAGTATCATCCCAATGCTCAGCAGTTCAAGAATTGGACTCAAAACCTATGGAAGCTATACAATTTTGGGCTTGAATTTCATCACCATGAGGAAATTAATGCAAGAAAACAATGAAATTTGGGCAGTGAATTTGATTTATGTGATTCGGATATAGAAGAGAGTACATTTACTCAAAAGCTACTAAAATTAAAACATCTTATGTCTGTATACATTCAACATACGAAATACGAACCCTTGACATCTGAGTATGATTCGAAAGAGTTAGACCATAATTAGATTAGTAGTACGAGTTGAAGCCATTGACGTTCAATACACCTTTTTCAGCATGGCGTCCACCACCACCCTTTCCTCGATTAATCCAATTTTGTTTTAGTAGGAGATCAAGAATCTCACTCTCTCTAAGTGTGGCCAAAAGATGAAACAAAAAGAAAAACACATATCAATCAAGCGGTTCACAGAAAGTTTCTTTTGAGAACTTTAGATACGTTTAGGTTTAGAATAATGATTGATTTACCTATGATGGTTGCCTTTTTCAAGATGGTTTTGGTGCAAGCGAGGACCCTCGTCGTATCCTTCGCAGACGATCTCCCCATTTTCGTCTGTGTAGCAAATCACTCCCTCCGCTTGATCCTCAAAAATCTGTTTGTTTTTCGTCAAACTTAATAATCAGATACTAACCCGAACTATTCTAAGATCAAATGATCTATAAAATCATAGTCATCCCATCACTATACCACCTTAATTCGGTAAAAATAAAAAAAGACAATAACAAACAGAACAAAATCAATAGCTTGGATCATATATCAACCAATTATTTACTTGAATAAAGTGGATTGGTTTTAAAGATTAGGAGGAATAAAAAAAAAGAATATATGAAAGAAGAATGTGGGAAAAGCAAAGAGAGAAAATGAAAGGAGAAGAAGTTGACCTTGTTGTTAATGGAAGATCTGATCTGCAGTGGGAGACATTTCTTGAGAGGAAACTTTGAAGGTTTGAGCATCGGAATTCTGCTTGAAGCCCTAACTGAGACTGAAAGTCCAGATTTCAGAAGACAGAAATTGAGAGAAGAAGAAGAACAACAAGTGAATGCCATAAGAAGAAGAAGAAGAATATGAAACCTTTTATATTTAATGTTTTCCCAAGTTTTATACACAACGAAGTATAGGTTAAAAATATTCCAATTATTGGAGATTGGTTATGTCTCATCATGGGGCATTATTGAAATATATATATATATATATATATATATATATATACATATATATAATATTGTAATGTGAGGGCCCACGTGATGTGGCTTATCTTCAACCGGTTGCTGCCGGTGAATCCAATATCTCCACCATGTCTTTATACAAAGTCCTCTCCCTCTCTCTTTCTGGTAATTGGCTGGGAGGTCTTTTCAAAGTTAGTGGTGTAATTTCCTTTTTGCTGTTTTTCGTACTTTTTATTCTCGGTAACATGGTAATAACTCGGTAGTATCTCTTCTCTTAACAGGCTTGTTTGGTTACAGTCCTCTTTGTAAGAGAATAGCAGCCCATTTTTTTATGGCTTTGAGAAGCTCCTGATAACCGTGCCCTAAAATCATCATTTCACGTCCTCCTTTTTCTTATTATCAACATGGAATGTTTCTTCAATCTGATCCTAAAACCTTTTCTGTTCCAATGACCATTTCAACGGTTTTCTAATCACTACGTGTAAAGATGTAAAGCTATGAGTAGAGTGTGAAGCAAGTGAGCATAGTGCTCATTGGTAGTGATGCTGTGGAATATTCTGATATTCTGTCTCCCCAAAAGGAAACAGTTCCTTGAAATAGATTGAAGAAAATGGCATATTTGGGAATAGTTTTGGGCAATAAGGAGCCCACATCTGTCATTCATCCATCAAGTGGACCGAGATTTGTTCCATGTCAGGTTGTTTGTAGAGAACCGTTTTGTTTAACCGCTTAGACTTTCCCTTAAGGCACTCTCGGGCTTCCCCTTAAGTTTTTAAAACGCACCTGCTAGAGAGAAGTTTCCACTCTTATAAAGAATGTTTCATTCTCCTTTCCAACTGATATGGGATCTCACTCAGTGATTTCAATTATCCAACTCCCTTCGAGCAAAAAATCTCATTGGATGGTTCATTCTGTTTTTAAATTTTCCTGGCCACCTAACCTAACAGATTTTTCCTATGATGTCCAAAGTTGAAATCTTCACCTCACATTTGTTGTACTCATTCAAAAGGAGAGAGGGAGAGTGAGAGGGAGAGAGAGAGGGAGAGAGGAAATTGAACTCTCAGGGATCACTGAGATATCTCTGTTTGCTTGCCTTACAATTAGCCTGTAGGCTGTATAGCTGCTTTGATGTATTCATTCTCTGTTTAAAGATAAGATAAGATACTTTGCTGAACAATCAAAATTTTTAAGGGGCACAGAAAGACCTTGCGCCTTGATAAGTTATTTAGTTAACCGATCCCACATTATTCATTAGCCCAAAAAGAAAAAACATAACATGCTTCGGCATCGTATTTTCCAAGAAATATGGGGAATTAGTTGCACCTGGTGAGTCCCCAGTGCTTTGGATAGTCTGGAACTTAGTCGCAATATTCGTTCATGAATGCTTTATGGAAGTCGGTCAGGCGAGAGACAACAGCCGGGATCTTTCGCTCTTGGGGTAGTATTGTACACCTGAAGTGCCATGTACCGGGCACCTATGTCAAAACAAATGCAGAATGGAACATTTAGTTGTGTAGTATAAATGGTTGAAAATTCAAATACAGAAGATGATGGTTTGGAAATAGATTGAGAGGTTAGGCCAACATCACAAACCTGCCCAAAGCCAGAACCGGGGACGACAACTATTCCAGTGGCGTGGAGAAGTTGGCGGCAATAGAACGCATCAGGAGCCGTATTTGCAGCTTCTGCTGCTTTTATTGCCTTTTCAGGCAGCTCAATACGAGGGAATAGGTACATTGCGCCTTCTGCTTTATTGCATGTTACGTTTTCTAAACTATTGAATGCAGCTTCTAATGTCTGCAGACAATAAATTGTATGGAGTATAATCCTTAAGTTTGTGCATCACAGATAAACAATTATGGACTGATTGGTGATAACAAGTTCGAAGATTAGTCGAACCAAGATTTCGGGAATTCTAACGTTTTCTTTTTCTTCTCCACAGCATACAGATTTATTCAAAACAAAAAGAGTATACTCAATCCACAAACCTTTGCACGCTTTGCCAGAGACGAGAGGATGCCATCTCTCTCTGCACAATACGATTCATAGATGTGATCCCCAACCTGCACAAATCATCAACAGTCTTCAACCAAAGAGGAAAAATAAATTGATACAAAGTTACGCATTGCACTTCAGCTCTTTCTTGCGGACATTTTTGCCTTGTAATGGATGAATTTAGTAATGCATAGAAATCAGAAGAACCTAACCTTTGGTGGGTTCATTACAAGGCTAGCAAGAATCTGGCCGGAAATATTAGAACAAAGATTAACGGATGCCACTTTGTATATTTGTTCCCTTACATCAGCACTAAACCCAGTAATCTCCATGTAACCTCCTCGTTTTCCACACTCACCATAGTATCCTAATGCCAGGAAGACAAAGTAAAGCATGAAATCAGCCCAGTTGTCCACATAGAATTTACCTCAGCAGGCTTAAAATAGATATGTACAAAGGCAACAAACCTTTAGAGACAGACTGGAATGATACTAAGGAAATGTCCTTTTCACCATAACCCATGGTGCGTGAAATCTTCTTAAAAGAGTGGAACTTCTTGTCTGGAACATAAATATTTTCTTGATATACCTGCCACATTTATCAGGTCTTAAGAAGCCACAGTGATGTATTAATACAACCAGTAAAGTTATGTTGCAGACTTCCATGGATGTTCTAGATTTACCTCATCTGCCAGAAGAACGAGGCCCTCTTGCTTGCAGAACTCCACTATTTGCTCTTGGTTTTCCTTAGTGAGCACCTAAAGTCATACAGATACTACAATAAATTAAAGTATCTAAAGAATTACGAAGCAAAATATGCGAAGCAGAAAGAAACCCATTGAGAGAGATGAGAGTATCAGATATTGCAAACTAGCAAATCTGAAAATAATTCCATCCCAAGATTACATTCAAAACCTATCCAGTAATATACCTGCCCAGTAGGATTTCCGGGATTTATAACCACCAATGCTCTAACGGAAATATTCTTTGACCTGGCAGACTCCAATTGCTTCTTCAGATCAGAAATTTCCAATCCCCATCCCGATGCTTCATCAAGATAGTAGGGGACCTGCAAACCACCAATAAATGTCAACTGCTTGATCTCTCGACAACAAAAGATTTGGAAGCACACAAAAGTTATAAAACTCTGTTTGGAACAAATGAAGTCGTAAACACATTAATCGAAGGAACCAAATCAAACGATTAAGATTTTCGGAAATAATATGAAACGTACAAGAGTACCGCCGTGAAGAGCTATAGAAGCAGAGTACAGAGGGTACTGAGGAATGGGACAGAGTATTCCATCTTTCTCTGAACTTATTAGCAATTGCATCATCATATGGACCTGGTAACAGACAGATAGAAGAGCCACTTAGACATGCTATTACTCTGAAATTTATATCTTGTGTCCACTTTCAAACAGAAAGACTCAAGTCTCAGATACTAAAACTTACTGCAGGGCTTGCACCATCTGTTAAAAATATATCATTAGGATCTGCAGGGAAACCATCACGAGCTTTAATTCCATCAGCAATCGCATCGCGCAACCCCTTAATACCCTGATGTGACAAATAGATCAAAAGTCAGATAACCTGAATTCTATGTTACCTAAAACTCCAACTTTTTTGTTGTTTTCTTGATAACAACCTGACTATGGCTGTAAGCACCAGTTGCTTTCCCAGGAATTTGTTTCAGAATTTGTGACGCTCGCTTAATGGCATCTTCACTGCAACAAGTTGGAACAAAAAATCATGTAGGAAACACAAAA